GTTAACATCTTATTTTGCAGTGGTGTTGAATGACTGCTCATAATTAGACCATAATTGTGATTTAATTGCTCTGTGATCTGACTGGCCATAAAGAGGGAGCCAGGAGTCCCATCTCAATGGGTGGAAAGATTAATTTTACTGGGGAAAGCGTAACCCCCTTTCATGCCACGAAAAGTATCACATTAACTCCTGGAAATTTCTATAACAGGCACAGTGTGGCTCTTGGGCTCTCCTGCCCATCTCTGGGGTGCTGCTCCATGGCTGGAGAGGATGGATGGCTGCTTTGCCACAAGCAGGATCAACTTCTAAATGCTGGCAAGTTCTACACTGTAAACTGAGGAACAGTAAAGATAAGGTCTTGCTCAAGGCAGTATTTTAATACAAGATATACAAATTTCATGAATACTAAGTGCAGTACTTCTTTAAAGAAAGAAGACTACTGATTTGTAGCAAAATATGCTCCAAGTGAGAGAAGAAGAGATTCTGCTTGGTTTTATTTTACATTTCGTTCACGACTAGTCCAATTGCCAGAGTTGAAAACAGGCCTTACAAATTCAGAATACAAGAACACCTCTGAGGTTTTCAGATGGCAACACTTCTTTCTCTCCACTTGAAACCCACCTGGGTCTGGAAAGAATTTGGGTCAGAAGCAAAAATGACTGAGAGAATTCACCGTGCGAGCGACTGGCACTGAGCTAGCAAAGACTGAAGGAAAACTTTCTGCAGCTCATGCATGACACTGCAGAGGTAAACTGGGAACTCTAAACAGCCTCTCCCTTCCCTGGCCCAGCACATCACCCCCAAGCTCTGCTCCACACTCACTGCCAGGTTTATGCAGTGCCAGGCACGGGCACTGAGCGAGGGATGTTCAGCTTCACCACTCACAAAGTGACACTCTGCTTCCCTGAGTGTGCTAAACCACCGAACACGCAGGAATTTACAGATGCATCAACTCTTCCTTATTTTTTTTTTTTTCCAAATGTTTTACCAAAAAATCCCAAAATAACAAACAGAAATTATCTCACAAGCTCTCTCAGGAAAATAAAAGGAAAATACTCAAATACCAGCTCACGCAAACTTTTTGAAAGAAGCTTGTTTTGTTCACATGAATATATGTAACTGAGTTTAACATCTCATGTAGAGCAGATGCCAGCCTGACATTGAAGCATTGAGTCACTGCACTGTATTGCAGAATTTATCTTAGGGTCAAGTTAATGTTTGAAAAGAAACAAATGCAGCTGATAGCACTGGGTAAACAGTGACTGTTTCTGCTTGGGATCACGCCTGCTCCTGTCTGCCCTGTACAGGGCTAAAAAAAACCCCACCAGCACACAACTCCTCCCTACCGTGGGATCATCCCAGCTGCAAAGCCCTATCAAAATTATTAATTGCATAAACTGCTCTCAGCACCTCCTGGTTTCAAAGCAATAGGTCATTAGGAGCTTGGGATTCTGAGACTTTTTTAGGGAAGCAAAGCATTGAAATGAGAACTGAAAAACCAATTTAATTTACAAGCATATTAACTTTGACAATTTCCCATACCAAGCATCAGGCTTGGTGTGGTTTGGCACAGGTCATCGAACCAAGGAGCCTAAAAAAACCTGGAAATCTCTCTGAATGTGTTCATCTCTCACTGAGGGAGAATGAGAACCCAGATACCCTGCCTCAAACAAAACATGGTCCTTTTTTTATGGATTCAGTCTAAATTCTTCTCTTTTGGAGGATGACACAACAAACTTCTGTTGTGCTGGACTCTGTTAACCAAGATCCATGAGAAGAAATGGTGTGCCTGATTTTGTAACTGATCAATCAATTATCAATTTATCAAAGTGAGCTATTTTGACAAATGTGAATGTATTCAAGGAAGCTACAATATTCACAGTACAGCTGGGGAATCACTATGTTAAGGCAATGCCAGCTTTACACTAGAATATGTGACCACTGCTCCTATAATTCAATCTATTAATTCCATACTCCCTGACCAAGTAATAATAAAAATGTATTTATTAACTCCACAGAAGTTAATTGCCAATTTCATCAGAACTTAGGCACAGATGTAAGATGGAAACAGTCAGTCATAAAAGCACTACATGTTAACTGAGGTTTTTTCACACATTTGACAGTTCTGAAAGTTACTAAGATACATGGCAGCAAGATTCTTCCTCTCTCCCCAAAACAGGCAACTATAATTGCACAGTTTTATTCTCAAATGTCATACCAAAAAAGAGGGCATAAGGTAAAAAGGAAGGGAAAGCTCCATTAAAGTTCTTAAGCCTTCTTCACTCTTCCAGGGTAAGCAAAGAACCAAGAAATCCCATATGACCAGTATTAAATACCTGTATTTTCATTAAGAGATTTCACAGAGGCTCCTCCTTTTTGTGCTTACTTTTCAAACTTACCACTCACAAAACGAAATAAAAAATGTTGCAAGCGAACCTGTAAGTTTACCAACTCTGGCTGAATGACAAAGCCCATGCACAGCCCATTCCACATACATTTCCATCCTTGTCTCTTTCACCAAGAGCAAGGTCAGAACCGTTATTTTCCTGCTCATGCTTGCAATGACTAACTTATAGTAAGTTTCCTGTTTTTCCAGCCTTGTAAATGTCGTACAAAACAGACAGGCAATAAAATGTGTACATTTCCAGGTTAATATTGCCCCAGCACTTCAGCACCACCCAGTTAGAAACTACGAACTGTGAGGAGGAGGAAAATCTGGGTAACTTTGTAAAAAGTTACTATGTCAAAAAAAAAAAAAATCTGGGTAACTATGTAAAAACATGTTTACAATCTTATCTGCACACTCCTTGGCTGTCTGCTCTAGTGCCACACTTTTCCTGTTGAATGACAGTTACCATTCCCATAATCAGATTTTTAATCAACACAGAAGTAATGAATTTTAATTAAAACACTCTCCTTTTCATGCTTATGATTCTGATACATGAGGGAGAGCTGTGCTTTGCAAAGAGCAGCGTGCAGATGCCAGGCTACCATTGACAGGCTTTCCAGACTACAAAAATATTTAGTGATTTAAAAACCAAATATTTATTTCTATTCCACATTCTTGGCTAATAAAGCATTTCTTAAAAATATGGAGAAAGAAAAAAAAAAAGAAACTACAAACTACAACCCCACAGTAACCAAGGGCTTGGTTTTCAGCTCTAGGTGGGAATAGTCCAAGGTTTAAGTGCCTGCCCTGACTTACAGATGGGTTTTGAACCCTTTTCTCCCACTTTCCAGGTAAACCCAACCAACATGCTAAAACTCAGCTCTCTGCCTGTTCTTTTGACCCTGTCCTGGAGCTGAGACACATTTACAACCAAGTTCTGTCATGTGCAGTTTATTCCCAGGACATGTTTTATTTATACTAACACATATTTCCAAAACAACAAAAAGTTTGATCACAAATAGTTTGGTTGGGAAGGGTTTTGTACACACCTTCCTTCACCCACCAACACCGATCACGTTGCAACACCACAAGCTGTATTTTAATACTTCTGCTAAAACAATCAGTATGTAAAAAACCCTCTGCCTAATTTCCTCATACTTTTCTTCATGCTTTTCTCCCCCTCCCACTTGGGCAGGGAAACCAGCAGGCTGGATTTCCCTCACTACTTCCCAGTGAAGTGAAGGCAGCAGGGCAAACAGGCATTTGTTTTACAAAAACTGGGTATTTTGGGAGTTTGACAGTGTTTGCTGGAATATTGCTACTGAGTCCTGGAAGGGACTAACAAGTCACTGTGCTTTGGTGGCTCAGCTCCGGGGCAGGGGCTGGAGGGGCAGCGCACAGGCTCAGCTCCTCTCAACACCATCGCTGTCATCTGCTCTGGCTCCGGAGGTTCCAAGGATGAAACAAGCACCTGCAGCCCTTCATCTCAGCTCATCAGGGACAAGACTTCAGGTGACAGTCCTGCCAGCTGGCCAGCAATGCTGTCTGCAGCTACCAGCTGGGTTGAAAGAAGTACAGGGAAAAAAACCCTTGCACCACAAGCCAGAGTGAAATCCCCACGTTTAGGATGCACAGGTCTGCATGACAAATAAACCTTCCCCTAAAGAATCTCTTGGGCAACACGAAGAAAACTTCCCTTCCTTCCTGCACTTGGAGCTGACCTCGGGGAGCTCCTCCACCTCTCACACCTCCGGCTGTCCAGCTGCAGTCCTGCTCCTCCTGCCCGTCCAACCAGCCTTGGTGGCTGCGGCAGCTCCAACAGCTTTTTGGCACTAAATTGAAGTCCTGTCCTGGAAATCACAAGCCCATTAGCCAGGCCTGTTAGCTAACCTGTTGAGTGACTGTGAAACGCACACGGATATGAAGTGGCATCGTTTTAATCCAGCATGGGAGGACTCTTCCTATCCTCTTCCTCAGCCAAACAGGAGAGATACCTGTCTGTTCCTTCACCTGTGCACTGCAGGGCTGGCAGCACGGATGTGCCCTCACCTAGGGCAAACCATGGGGAAGAAAGATAAATCTGAGCAACCTTTCAGCCAGAGAGGGAAGATGCAGGAGAGTCCAAGCTTTTTCTTCCCACGCTGGCAGCCGGCAAACACACGCTGCACTTTCAGAACAAGACTCCACTAATCACTCAGCAGCTCCAAAGGACGCTCAGCTGCTGGAGGAGGGGATCCCTGCCCCATTCCCCCAGCAGTGAAGCTCCCTCAGCCTCTCCAAGGGTCAGCCGGACACCGAGCTCCCCCGGACAAGCGCGGGTTCCCCGCAGGGAGCGCTGGCGGCTCCGCGGTGCCTTTGGGAAAGTCTCACGCAATTGCTCGCTGCGCTTAGCGCAGGGCAGGGACTGCGGGGCGGCTGCAGCCGGCTCCGGACTCAGGAGGTGCCTGTGCATCAGTGCCCTCGCAGAGGTGCGCACACGCGTGGGTGCCTCTGTCGGGGGCCCCGCAGGGCTGATGTTCGCCACCCCCGGCCCCGCGCTCGCCAACCAGCCCCGCAGCCCCGCGGGAAGCGCGGAGCGGGCTCCCCCCGTCCCGCCGCGTCCCCCTCGCACCTTGTCGGACGGCTTTCACCACGATGGGGTCCTTGCAGCTCCGGATCACTTCCAGCACGTCGTAGCGCGGCAGCCCCGACACGCGGACCCCCTGCACCTCCAGCAGCAGCTCGCCCTCGCTCAGCGCCGCCTCGCCGTCCCCCGCCGCCGCGCCCGCGTACGGGAACTCGCCGTGCTCCGCGCCGCCGAGCAGGGCGAAGCCCAGCTGCCCGCCGGGCCCGCGGGTCAGCGCGCACTGCCGCACCCGGCTGGACCAGTGGTTCTTCTTCTGCACGACCCGCGACATGGCGCTGCGCGTCCCTCCGCGCCCGCGGAGCGCGCTCGGCAGGTGCGCAGGGGGCGCGGACCCGCCGCCCGCTCAGGCCATCACCGCCCGCACGGCCCCGCGCCCGCGGAGGGCGCGCACCGCCTCCCGCCCGCCCCTCCGCGCCGTCCCTTCTCCCCTCTTATTAAGAAAAAAAAAAATTAAAAATAATTTTAAAGAGCTGAAAAAGCAAATCCGGCAGCCGCACGGTGTTGCCGCCCCTCTCCGCGGGCGCTGCGCGGGGCGCGGAGCCTTTCAGGCGATACAAAGCGCCGTTTGTTTTGTTCCAGTTCGGTCCGTCCCGCTCCGCCGCGCTCCGCGCCGCCGGCGCAGGCGCCCTGGCACGGCCCGCCCCGGCACGGCCCGGCCCCCGCCCGCTCCCCCGGACAACTTTCCCGAAGGGAGAAGTCGGTGCCGGCTCTCCCCGGGCGGTGGCGAGGGTGAACCCCCCGGCTGGAATCGTCTTTCTCCGAGCCGGAGCTCTGCCCCGCGCCCCCGGAGATGCTCATGGTCCAGGGGACGGGGGATGGCAGATCTTTGCTTTCCCGGGAGGATTTCTAGGGCTTTCCCAGCTGCAAACCGCTGCGATCACTTCTTACCTGCGCTTTCCAGGTGGTTGTTACAGGAGGGGACACAAAGTACAAGTCCTGAGGAAAAACTTGCACAAGCCCGTCATTAAAATGGTATCAAAGCTCTTGCACAAGGCTGAGTGAAAGGCATGCTCCTAGTCTCAGTACTCCACTCTGGTTTTTGATTGAGTGCTCGAATTTGAGACATCAATAATGTTTTCACATTGTCCTGTCCTCGTGTAATTGTTTAGAAGCTGGACAGGCTAATAGCGAGGTCTGGCTGCTGGGGAAAGGGACAGGCATCCGTTTGTTTGTCCTTGGCCAAAACTCTTCAAAGTTACCCAGAACTGGTGCAAAACTCAAAAGGGGAAAATAAGTAAGAGTGCACGTACCAGCTGTCCCTTCCAGGTCATGCTCCATGCTTCCAAACCTGAAAGCCAGGCCTCATTTTGAGCAGTCTTATGCATGACCAAACCCCTTCCAGCAAGGAATTCACTTGTCAGATGTGTGCGTGCCCTATTTTGCTGCTAATCCGGACTGAGAAGTGACACAGGGAAACAAAGAGTCTGGTCTGGCTGCCTGTGCTGCCCTAATGTGTGCTCAGACACCACAGCCCGCAGACTTTCACTGCTGCCCGCGTCGCTCTCTCATCTCACCCTCCCAGCCGAGCGTGTCCCGCGGTGATCTGCGATGCGGGAGAGGCGGCAGCTCGGCGAGCATCGCTGCTTGGGGAAAGAGCTCAGCCTAACATCGTCTGATGCTGGCCCAGCTGATCAGCCGGCTTAGCTCACAGACCTGAGGGACGAGCGGGGTACTTTCCCTGTCCCTGCACCCGTGCCGGATGGAGCAGGGAAGCCTGTCCTTCCTTCACCTCCAGCATTCCGTCCTCCTTTCCCCAGCTGCAATCTCTCATCCGGCTATCTTGTAGAGCTCCCATCGCCGCAGACACTGCTCTGCAGCCGCAGTCCCCGGCCCGAGTGGCACAGCCACACGCAGGCAAGAGAAAGGCTTTGCCAATGTCACAGAGCACAGCAGTGAGCCAGCCCCATCCCCTGTGCCTCAGGCACCTCTGCCCAGGTCTCCATGGGAAGCAGATGGGATTACCAGAGCTCAGGGAAGTCCTTCCAACAGAGGGGCAGAGCCTGCCTTCCTGGGTAGAGGTGGACTCATGAAGTTCAATGTACCTGCTGTGTCTAGCCCTCATTTGCTTCCAAGAGGTTTCTTATTTTCATATTTGTTTTCATCCTTAAAGCTGTACTGATCCCTTATGTTAGAGCAGCAATAACTGCCTCACATCTGCTTTTCCTGGCTCAGTAACCAGCTGCCCCATTTGTCACTTTTTAGGATGACAGCACACTTTTTATTTTACGTTCACCAGTAAAGAGAGGATAGGTCACCAGGCTGGATCAGCTGGGCAATAAATGCTCCAGAGGTCTGTAGACCCTACAGAACAGCAGCATGGCTTGTGGGGAAGGCTTTCTCTCTCATTTGTGCACTGGCTGATAGTTGTGTCACACACGTGAGCTCACGGTGCAGGGAGCCCCTTGTTCACAGCCCAGCGCTGGGTGTGACGTATTTTCATCACCATCATTTTGCAGGATGCCTTATGTGACAGCACTGCTAAGCTAAAAATCATCTGGGATCCATGTGAACATCACATGAGCTGTGGTTGCCCTGAATAGTTCTTACAGAACTACTCATGCCTCATGGAAAAATTTTTGGAAAAGAATATTTAGAAAAACAAGTTTTGATAGTAAAATTTATGAGATGACAGACTTCCAAGGGCCCTTTTCAGTTTGCTTACAAACACTGCAATTGTGCTGGACGTGTGAGCTGCCCCCATTGTAATCCTAGTGCTGTACTCATGTCTGGACCACTGCGTTCCCAAAATAGTTCTTGTTGATAATTAACAAAACCAGCAAATCTCAACCAGAACTTTATCTTGATTTTCAGATTTTCACTTCAGTTTTTGTCCTGGACCAATTTCCTACCATTTTATCGCCTCATTGCATCCAGGTGGTCAATCTGGATAACCCTAGATCCTGGAAGCTGGCACCACTTATAAAGCTCAAATACAGCCGAGGTTTTTTGTTATCCTGATTGCTGACTCTGTGACTGCCCAGCACCTTCCTGCTGCAAGGAAATTATTTCAGGGCACAGCTGCTCCAACCACCTCTATTAAAGGAAGCTCTTGGTCAGGATTTAGCAGTACTGAGCCCTTGACCCATGGTGTGGCCGAAGGGTCCCTGACACCAGCTGATGGATAATTGGGTGATTACTCCATACAAACCTGGCATTGCATTTCATTGCAGAGCCTGGCCTCTCTCCCAGGGACAGTGGTCCTGCCTTTGCAGGGGATGGATTTAATGATTAACAGACTGTCTTCATCTCTGACAACTGCAGTTCTAATAATGACACTCTTCTTTTTGTGAGGGTCTCTAAGCATTTCACGAGCAGTAATTAAGGAATCTTCACAGGGCAGCAACCTGGGGAGCAGCTGAACATTAACACAGGGCAGGGAGAAGCTCCGGGCACACTCCTCATCCAAGGATGGCTCACTGCAGCCATCCTACTTCACCTGCAGCAGCTGGTCCAGCTTCACCTCATGCAGGTCTCTATGCTCTTTACAGCCCATGACAGCACTGTGAAAACTGCTTTGGGTGGTCTCAGGCCTTTAAGCAGAGCCTGATTCCGTTGATCTTTTTTCTGCGGTCGCTCTGGCCCATGCGTTGGCAGCTGCTCATTTGTCAGGATGAGAAGGCTGATCTTTCTTCCTCCTTCAGAAGGTGCTCTGCATGCTTTGGGCCCTGCTACAAACACACAACAGCTCAAATGGTTCTTTCAAATGAATATTGACCCATGGTCTTGGTCTCAAATGCCTCTGAAATTTCGTGCTGTGTCCCGGATTCTAAAATGGGTCAAAGCTCCCCCAAGCATCAACTCATTCTCTCAGCTTTCCTACTGAAACTTTAGGAAACCACAGTTTGACTTTTTTTGGAATGGAAAACCATGTCTAGTCACTGAGAATGTTGTGGGTTTATGGAGTTCACAGCCATGTACTCCCATCAGAGAGCATAAAAAAGATCATAATGATTAAGACTACAAATGAAAGTACAGCTTATTTAATACAGCAGAATTTATTCGTAATTTCCAGATAAACCCCAAACTTTTGATATCATGGGCCTCAGGGTTTTGAAAGCCTGAGCACATAGATCCTGGAAAAAAAGAGAGAAGAAAGACTTTAAACAAGATCCAGTTTCTCAGACATTGAAGTTTCCTGTGGGCACACTCACACTACCAGAATCTGTCAGTAGGAAAGCCATGCATCGTGGTTATTTCCCAGACAAGAATTGTTTTTACAGTTATCCCACTTAACTCTTATTGGAGGAGAGTTTTCTGTGTAGTATCCAGGATTTCTTAACAGGCTGGTACTACTCTCTGCTAGCAAGGAGGAAATGGGCTGGTGCTGCTTTGAGTCCTGGCAAACATTTCAACAGACGACCCAACTCCAGGTACTGAACAAACCCTGTATTTACAGCAAACCTTCCAAGTGTCAGGACATGAGAAGATCTGGTTAAATCTACTGCCCAGCCAGCACAGACAGGTCCTGCCTAAGCTCAGGGACAGAGCTGGGCCAGCAAGGTCCATCCCAAAAGGCAGCCCCTTGTGCAGGACATTTCCAGCCTCCTGGAATCCCACCCAGGGCTGCTCAGTCTGTGACCACAGGATGCTGGGAAGAAAAAGGAAACTCACCCCTTACTGGGACTTCATGTCACCTTCCTCTACAATTTATTTCAATAATACCACACATAGTGGAATATAAAGCTGAAGATCAATCTCATAACCATATTAAGACACTCTGGGGTGTATTTTATGGCACCATTAATATACTTCTTGGGTGGTTAAAGTCACCCACAGCATAAATTAATGGCTCTATAAAACATGCTCTGTCATATCCTATGGCTTAAATAACACACAATGGGCTGGATATGTTGGGATGTGGTTGAGCTTATTGGGTGGAAGCAGAGGGTCAGAATGACCACCTGGGAGTGAGGATGCCAGCCTCAGGGGGCCCAGTCATTTTAAAAAAGCAAGATTCTAGAAAATCAATTACAAATTGTAGATTTCATTAACTTTCATTAGCACTTGTATTCCCAGGTTTATTCATTTCATTCAGGCATATCTTCCCTGCAGAAGCTGTTCTGTTCCAGGGTAGGATTGTTGTGGGTGGGGCTTTTTGGCATGGAGGGAGCCAGGCTTGAAAAGCTCTGAAGTCAGGCACAGAGCAGGCAAAGCCTCTTGGTTAGAGCAGGGATCAGATTGGCTTTGCAGGGGAAGCAAAGCCTGCCATATGTTTCCACTTTCTGAAAGAAACTTGAAGGAAATGTCAATGCAGTGTCCATTTGGGACAGATTTTATTGGGCTTGAGGTCTCTGGTACACACAGGAGTATTTCCAAAAAGAAAAGAAAAAGAAAGCAAAAGAAAATGTTTTTTTCCTAGTCTTTCTTGACCATGATCAAGCTATAGAA